TAAAGATCATTCTGACTACTAATTGTAGAGTGCACAGAGACAGCAAGGAGACCAACAAGGAGGCTTGGATGGTGTCCTGGAGGATGATGGTGTCTTCAGATGAGAGTGGGAAGTGTAGAGATGGAGAAGACACCTCAAAGGCTTCCCATGGGACTCAGAATAAAATCCAAAATCTGAAAGTTGATTTTCAGGGCCTTGTCAGAAAAGACTCCCCTCCTCACTTCCACTTCATCCTTGACATTCTTCAAAATGACAAGCCCATCACACCCCAAAGACTGCACTGGCTGCCACCCCTCTGCGTGGAAATCTCTGCCCTCCAGGCCTTCCTATAGCTGGCATCTTCTCATCTCAAATGTCTTCTGCTCAAAAAGGCCTTCCTTCACCACCCAATATCAGCAGCCTCCACCCCCATTCTCTCACATCATTATAACCTGCGTGTCTGTAAATATTTCCTCTGGGTGCATTGTCTGGGCCCAGTAGAAAATAACCTTCAGGAAGGCAGGACCGTTTCTGGATTACCACTGCATCCCCAGCGCCTAGCATAGTGCCTAGCACACAGTATTTGCTGAATGGGTGAATGCATCCCAGTCGAGGGGGGCGGGGAGGGGTTAGGGCTGGGAGAGAGGGAAGGGCAAGACTTGTGGTAAAGTGGGGGCTCAAAAGACTGAGAAAGTGTACAGAGAGTCCTAGAGCAGTTCGAAAAAGCAGCTTTTTCAGAAAGCGGACACAGGCCAGACCACGGCTGCTACGTACAGAGGGGCGCAGGACAGCCCAAGGTTGCTGCTGTTTCGGGAAGCAGAGCTCTGAACAGTCCTGAAGGCGATTATTTGGGAAAGGGAGAGCAGGGCCAACCCAGTGGCAGCCTTTACGGAATACCAGGCGCCCACAGCAAACCCGGCGGTGGGGGCAGCAACTGGGTCTGGGGTCTCGGGAGACGGGGAAGATGCAGAAACCGCCGCTTCGGGACGCCCTAGGGGCTGAGGCGAGGGGCCGGTGGGCCGCGGCAGACCCGATGGGAGGACGAAACGGCGACGAGTAGCCCCACAGACCCAGACGAGCGCTTCAGGGGAGGCGGGGGCTGTTACCTGCAACATCCCGGTTGTCCATCTTGAGACTCATCCAATCCCACAATGCTCCGGTTCCACTTGAGAAGGCTTGTTATAGTGCGCATGGCCTGATGGGAGATGTAGTCCGTGTCGTCCCCACCAAGTCCGGCCACTGAGCTGATACGTGGGGTCTTTCCCCAAGAAAAACAAACCCCAGCCTATTGGCAATGTCTGTTCTCAGTCCCGCGGACCAAAGGGCATCGACTTTTCGCACACTTCTCCGGAGCCGCGGCCACTCCAAAGGCGAACTACATGTTCCAGAATGCTTTATGCGGCAGCTATCGCGAGAGACGTGAGAAGTCCCCCCGGCCCCGCCCCGCGCGCCTGCTTCCGCCTCCCTGTGGCGGCGGCTTGTTGTTGTGGAGGCCAAAATGGCGGCTCAAGCGGCTGCGGCGGCCCAGGCGGCGGCGGCCCAGGCAGCGCAGGCGGAGGCGGCCGAGTCTTGGTACCTGGCACTTCTGGGCTTCGCCGAGCACTTCCGCACTTCCAGCCCGCCCAAGATTCGCTTGTGTGTGCACTGCCTGCAGGCCGTGTTCCCCTTCAAGCCGCCGCAGCGCATCGAGGCCCGCACGCACTTGCAGCTCGGTTCCGTGCTCTACCACCACACCAAGAACAGCGAGCAGGCGCGCAGCCACCTGGAGAAGGCGGTGAGCGCAGACCCGGCCGCGAGGGAGGAGGCGCGGGCTCTTTTCGGGGCCTGGGCTGACGGACTGCGACCCCAGCGGGCAGGGGCCGCTTGGCCTCTCTTCGGGGACTTGGGGCGCGACTTCCGCACGGGCAGCAGGACCCCGAAGTCGCCAGTCTCTCAGGGGACCTGAAGGCCTCTCTTTGTACCTTAAAGTCTCTGGTGACAGGCAGGGCCCCAGAACCCCGCTCAGGGTACTTGAGAGTTGTCTCTTATCAGGAGCAACAGGGTCCCCAAATTCTTCAGGCTTTCAGGAGAGTATCATCTGTTGGAGCCTTAGGGAAGTCCACCAGATCGGCCACTGGGACCTGCAGCTTCCAGCTCCTCAGGGCTCAGCCCCTCGAGCATCGATCAGCCTGAATGCTCCCTCCTGAAGTGACTCAGGATAGGGGAGGGTCAAGGTGACAGTGCAGGCATCCCTTGGGAATCTGGTTTGGTTTCTCAGGAAACCTAAGATGGCATCCTCTCCCTGGACCGGGAAGTCTGATAAGTGTCTGGAGGGTCTTGTGCCCCTATCACTGATGCAGGGTGTCATAGATGGGAGGCAGAGGCTCAGAGAGAAGAGGTTAAAATTCTCCAAGGCAGAACTGAGGGGGGCCTAGGTTCCAGGACCATTTGCTTCAGTGGGGTGGGATGGGGGATCTCCAAGCTCCTGCTCTCTCTGTATCCCTGGTGACTTCTCTTCCTCCCATCATCCATTAGTCTATCCCCTTCAGAAGAGAGACCCCGTAACCCCAACTTGACTGTGGCATCTTGGTGCTTCAAAGAATGTGGGAAGGTGGCTGTCATTGTGACCCTTCTAGCCTTGGCGTTGTTTCTTGTCACAGTAACACTGTGCTCCCTGTCAGACCAGGCCTTCATTTGCTATTTACCCAGCTTTATTTGACTTAGAGATTTCTTAAGAAGAATCAACTTAAGTTTTTGAAATGTATTGATTTGAGGTAAATCCCAGCCTACCTGTGGCCAGTAATGAGTTGCCTTTGGGACGATATCAAATCTTTGTTTTGCAGAGTGTAAAGAGTTGGAAGGGGACTTTAGTCCTTGTTTGATCACCTTCCTTGTTTTAGGAGTGAGGCAGTATGGGTCCAGAGAAATGAAGTGATTTGCTTAAAGCTACACATCAAGTTATTAACAAAAATGGCTCAAACCTGGGCTCAGGATCGCCAACTTCAATGCCTTCAATAAGTCATTATTGTTTTTATGAAGTTTTTTTTATCCCTTTTATTCATCCAGCAGATATTCAGCTCACATCAGGTGCCAAGCTCTATTCTAGGTGCCATAGATCAGTGATGACTAAGATAGTCCCCGTCAACGTGAGCTTATGTTTTCATGTGAAAGAGACAAACGTTAAGTATGTAGTAAAAGGTTAGGCCATGATAGAAGAACCATGGAAAATATGGTGCAGGGTTAAGAGATGGAGTTGATGAGGAGCTTTTTTTGGCAGAGGTAGTGAGGAAGTCTATTTGTAGGAGTGACATTTGAGCAGCCTGAATGGGATGGGGAAAGCGAACCTGGAGAACGACTCAGGATGTCAGGTCGATCCCAAGGAGTGCCTGAGCTGTGACCAGTTGGTGTAAGGTCTCTCCTGGGCAGTGATGAGGCTGAGATCAAATGAAGCCCCAGACTTCCTTGGGTATGGGCATGCTGGAGGCTGACCGCTCAGGCCTGGTGGCCCAGTGCCTTCAGTGAATTACGGTTCTGAAGCTCTCCCTTCTCTGCAACAAATCCTGCCACCTCCCCTCTCTTGTCTCGGGGGTCATTGAGTCTTTTTGTAGCAGTGGTTCATATTTGCTGTGTATATTGTCCCATTTAGCCCACCCAGTGCTGTAGAGGGGAAGCAGCCATGCCTCAGATTGCTTCCTTGTAGCCACTGGGCTTTTGGACCCATAATTTAAACCCTTATGCTTATGAAACGTCTTCCCTTGATTTTACAGAACCCTGAATCTTGTGGGGTTTCCCACAGAGCCACAAGGTCCCCTCTGTAGCTCACACTAATGTTATACTTGGAAATCCCTTTCTGTCAGTTGCATCCCCAGCTGGGAATTTGTCCAGATTTCAGTTAAAGGGCTGTTCTCTGTGTTGTTTTCCTTCTGCAATTGTATGTGATCTCCCATTGTGTTGCAACACAAGCATGTTTCTTTAATCTTCATTCTTTGTTAGTCCTGTGATTTTCCCCCAATCAGGCTGCTTTCAGCTTTTATTCATTCTTTTCCCAGACTCGCTCAACAAAAAATTGTAATACGTTCTTCTTTTAGAAGTGGTTTATTTCTAGTCCTGAAGAGCAAATGGCCAAAGAGGTTCCAATTTCTTTTTAGGGAGCCAACCCAGAGTATCAAAAAGCATCTTTTTTTTTTTTTTTTTTTAATTCTACCTCCAACGTGGGGCTCTAATCTCCCAATGCAAGATCAAGAGTCGCATGTTCTACTGAGTTGTTTTTTTTTTTCTTAAAGGCTTTATTTATTTATTTGATAAAGAAAGTGAGAGAGCACAAGCAGGGGGAACAGTAGAGGGAGAGGGAGAAGCAGGCTCCCCGCCAAGCAGGGAGCCCAATGCGGGGCTCAATCCCAGGACCCTGGGATCATGACCTGAGCCGAAGGCAGACGCTTAACCATCTGAGCCACCCAGGCGCCCCTCTACTGAGTTTTTTTCAATGTAAATGACTCAAGTATTTTATGACTATTTTCTCCTTGATCGTTTTGTTTGCTGTTCTTTTCTGAACTAATTTTCTGTAACTATGAGTGCTGTAGGTAAAACTTTTAATGGGCTTCTGAACTTAGTACCACATTCGGCTTCCCTGTTATTTACATGTCTTTTCTTTTCTCTTTTGAGAAACCCCCAGCCTCCTTGGTAATCACTTTTTTTAATATAAAGTTAGATTATTTACTCTCTGTTTGCTTCCTGTCAGTGTCTAACTGCCTCAACTGCATTTGTAAACTTTGTAGAAGGAATGTATTATATACTTACCCATCTGGAGCACCAGGGTGGCTCAGTCAGTTAAGCTTCTGCCTTCGCCTCAGGTCATGATCCTGGAATTCTAGGGTCGAGCCCTGCATTGGGCTCCCTGCTCAGCGGGGAGCTTGCTTCTCCCTCTCCCACTCCCCCTGCTTGTGTTCCCTCTCTCGCTGTGTCTGTGTCAAATAAATAAAATCTTTAAAAAAACAAACAAAAAAACACACAAAAAACCCCAAAACAGAACACCCGAAGGGTCCCCGCATGCCTGTTGCCCATGGGGTGGCAGAGCTGGGCTTGGGGGTCAGAGCTCCTGGGCCCAACCCTGCCACATTCTGATTGTGGGACTCTGATATGTTGAGCCCACTGGGGGCAGGGGGTGGTGGTGCTGCAATTAGGGTGTGTGTGGGGTCATCTCCCCGTTTAGTTCCCCTCTTACCTGAATGCCTGGTTCTCGCGGTTGTTCTGAAGAGCGATGGTTTCCACTTCTGGACCCCCGTCCGCTATGAACCTGGCCAACTTTTCTGCAAGGTTCTTGGCCTCTTCGTCCTCTGGGGGTGAAACTTTAAGCAGGCTGTCAGTACTGAGCTCAACTCACCACACCCAACAGCCTAATTTCTGCTAAGAACCCCATGGGTAACAAGAGGGGTTTATTTTAGGAACAATGCAAAGAAAAACAGGCAAATGGGAATCAGATTACTGCACTGGGACCAAATACCAGAGTTAATATTACAATATATCTTGAGACCCTGCCCCCACCCTGCACCCTGCCCCTTCCCGCCCCACAGATCATAGAACAGAATGTGAGAGAAGGTCTGGATCCAGGCTGGAGGGGAGATGGGAGCCCCACCTCAGTCTTTCTGCCAGGGGCTGCCCATCCAGGTCACACACGGAAGTGGGCCTGGCCCTCCTCTCCTGGGGAGAAGGTCAGGGCACAGGGCGGCAGGAGACAGACAAAACACACCGACCTCTGTGGCCTGTGTTTGGCCTAAACATCGATGCCCCTGCCACCCACTATAATCTGGCTGGGATTTTACTTCATGATGGCTGGAGACCAGCTAGCATCTCCCCCTCCCCTGATACTCATCCCATCAGGAGTTCACCAGCTGATCCCTTCTGTCCTCTATCCCCCTCCCCAAGGGTCAGGCACATTTGTCTTTAGGCTCTCAGTGCCAGACAGGCAGCAGCAGCTCATTAACACTTATTTAAATAACCAAGGACCAACAGACAAGTGCTCCCTCCTCCACTCCATATACACGCACAGAGCAACACTCTTGAACATAACAATGACCTTGACCTTTGCCCTCAGACTCTCCCTCACCTCAGACCACTGGTGAAGAGGGGCAATGCTGTTCCCAGTGTGACCCTGGCTGCCTGACAGGGCACAGACCTGGGCCCTAGGCACCACCCCATGCACCAGAGCCTCCCAGAACCCCGGTTCCACATGGGATGTGGTTTGTCCACACACCTCCCCAGAACCTCCCACCCCCTCCACCCACTTACCTTTCTGAGAGGATGCCTGCAACTTCTGTGCCTCCTTTCTTATCTCAGCCACCTTCTTTCTGTAGTAGAGGAATTCCCTGCTATTCTTATCATGCAAAAACCTGGAGAGAAGTTTTGCAAAATAGACAGGAGGGTGAGCAGTGGGGATGGGCTGACCCAAGCAGCTTCTGAAGAACGTTGTGCAAAAGCAAGCTGGTGGGGCGCCTGGGTGGCTCAGTCGGTTAAGCATCTGCCTTCAGCTCAGGTCATGATCCCAGGATTCTGGGATTAAGCCCCACGTCAGGCTCTTTCTCCCACTCTTTCTGCCCCTCTGCCCACTTGTGCATGCGCTCTCTCTCTCAAATTAACAAAATCTTAAAAACATTAAAAACAAAAACGAAACAAAAGCAAGCTGATGAGCAGAGACACCTTGATGAGGCCCAAGATTAAGCCTCTGCACCACACCGGAGCTCCTGCGACCTCTGGTGTGAGTTAGAAAGCACTTGGGGGGTGCCTGGGTGGCTCAGTTGGCTAAGCGACTGCCTTCGGCTCAGGTCATGATCCTGGAGTCCCGGGATCGAGTCCCGCATCGGGCTCCCTGTTCCGCAGGGAGTCTGCTTCTCCCTCTGACCCTCCTCCCTCTCATGCTCTGTCTCTCATTCTCTCTCTCTCTCTCTCTCTCATAAATAAATGAATGAATGAATGAATGAATGAAAGAAAGCACTTGGAAACTCGGACCAGTGGTCTGGCCCACATGAACAAGCACCCAACCCCGACCAGCCTCAGTAACCAGTAGGGTTTTACAAGAACGCACGTACTACTGTGTGACAAGAACATTAAGCAGTGGTGGCCTTCCCCTCCCAGAAATACTTACGAGAACGCCGGGTTATCCTTGTAGTTCTCCATAGCTACTTTTTCTAACTCGGGGCCTCCTTCTGCCACAAAGCGGGCCAATTTCTCTATCACTTTCCGAGTCTCGGCTCCCTCTGGGGGTGAAACTTTAAGGAGGCTGTCAGTACTGGGGTTCAACTCACACACCCCACAGTCAACAGGCACACTCTCTCTATGGACCACAACGACAGAGGGGTGGGGGAGAAGAGGGTGAAATGCGGGAGGTTGTCGGGTGTCCTGAGTCCAAGCACAAAGCACTGTGACGAGGGGGAAGGCAGTCTAAACAGTCTTCGTGAGACACACTGGGCGGGAGGGAAGTGTGGGAGTCTCTGGGAGACCAAGCCGATCCCAGGCTCGGAGGGAGATGTCAGAAAACATAACCAGTCTCCCTTTTTTTCTGAAATGCTTAATTCCTTTTATTTACCAGGGTTCAGTTTAACAAATTGGTTTCCTGTCACCTTCCAAGATGACAAATTCCTTTTAAAGTGTCATTACAAACTCTGACTTAAACACATCGAGTGAGTTTCAATCCATTTTAAACATATCAGGTGGGTTTCAATCCATTGCAATTAATGTCATCACAGAAGCTCAATTGTCCCCTCTGCAGCTGGTAGAGCCTCTTCAGGAGTCTCTGATGGCCTCCTCGCTATCTGCTGGGACAGGGTGCTCCAGGATCATCTCATACACTTCCTGACCAGACCTAGAGCCAGCCATTTCTCCAAGAAGTCCTGGTGTCCATGAGGGAGAAAATGTGTCTCCAGACCACGCCAGGGGCGCTCACCGCAACAGGCTTAATCATTACCTCAGGGCCTTTACAGTGAACAGAGCTATAGAAATGTTCTTTTTGTATTTGTATTAGCCTCCCCTTTGATCCGCATGGAACTTCCTTTTGTATTTTATTGCTGGCCCGTTCCTGAGGCATCTGTTGGCCAATTTACAGCTCATGTCCCTTTTATGACAACTCCCAGGAGAAATTTCTCCCTGCCACTGCCTAGGAATGTTCACTGCTCTCAGCAATAGGGCTAGACACTGAACCTGCAGCCAAACTTATTCCCCTTTTTGCCTTGGCTGCCAGGAAGCTGGGGGATGGGAGGTCAGGGATCTGTGGCCTGAGGAGGACCCTCAAGAGGTCCCAGGAACTTTCTGTAGCCACCTTTCCCCCAAGCCTTATGCTCTTCCTGAGTGCCTGGCAATGACTCTGACCTGTTTGACATTTACCAACACAGGTGCTCTTCTGAGGCCATGTCAAAAGCAGGCCGTAAGAGGCCTCAATGCCCTTGAGACACTCACTGCCCCCTGTAAAGCATCACTTCTCAGCAGGGTACTGTCAGAGCTGCCGTGATGCCTCAGGAAACAGCCCCTTCCCTGGCTCCATCCTGACAGAGGTTGGCCATTGATCTGCTCAGATGCATGGCCATAAGCCGGCCCCCTCATTGAGAGTAACAAGTGTGAAGGCTGTCACAGCGTAACTATATGGTTATTTCAATCCGTCCTCACCATCGGGGTGATGGGACTGCATCAGCCTGTCTGGGGCAGAGGTGGCCCAGGCCTGCACATGGCTCAGGAGGCACCGAGGCCTCGTGCTGAATGCAGGCGGAGTTAGCCACAGTGGGGGTGCTGCCCCTGCCACCCCCACCCTCCTATACGACAGGGCCTGGGCTGACTCTCCAAGAAAAATGACCGTTCTTCCCCTGGGCAGGAAAGCGTGCCCTCCAACCTGTGGGCCTGGACCTCTGGCCCAAACTGGTGGGGACAATAACCCGCAATGCGAAGAGGCACTTCTGGTTCTCAGAGGGCTGAGAGAGTGTGCACCCAGACAGGGGAGCCATGGAAGCTCCTTCTCTCATGCTGGGACAAGGAGAGACACAAGTGAATATGCTCCTCCGAGAATACCCCTGCCCTGGCTGGAGACCAACCCACACGGGCGGAGGATGCTTCCCACGGCTCCCAGGTCAAAGTCCACAGTCTATAGCCCTCCACACTTCCCTTTCACTGTTCCCCAACACCCTTTCTTCACTCCCCCCAACCCTGGAGGGTCCCACGCGGGCCCCTGGCTCAGCCTGGAGGGCTAGCGGCCTCCCACCACTAGCCACACTTTCCCTGCTGACCATGGGTCCCACCCATGGAGCTGGAGGGGCAGTGGTCAAAGGAAGGTGGCAGCTCCCGCACCCTACCTTTGATCTCCAGCCACTGCTCGTAGTCTTCCTCCTCATCCTCATCAGGAGACTGGAAGACACTTGGGCGGCTGGCCACGGGTAGCTGCTTGGCATGCACATAGTTCTTCATCTGGCCTGGTGGGCTGCTGATGAGAGGGGGCCTCTTCCCGGGGCGGGGGAGTACTCGAGTGGGGGCACTGGGTGTGCTAGGTGGGGCATCTTGGGATAGAAAGAAAGACACCCATGCTCAAGGTCTGAGATGCACACTGCCCCATCTTCTCACCTAACATGGATGCGTGAGTGCATAGGTAGGGCTGAGCCCTTGGCTTCCAGCATGGTGACTGTCAGGGAGTGGGCACTCAGAGAGGACACCATCCTCGTTTTATAGAAGAGGTCACTAAGGCTCAGGAATGATTTGTCACGGTCACCCAGCCTGGAGAAGAAAGGCTGGGCTCTGCAGGCAGCAGCTCTGGCAGAAGACTCCCTAACATTTGTGCCCAAAGCCCAGGGATGTGCCAGCTCTTCTGGATAAGGCCTGAATCCCCACACCTGGCTTATAACAATTCCCTCCGACTGTCGGTGGCAAGCTGGAGACAGCCTACTCGGGCTTTTCAAACACAGCTCCTGGCCTAAGATCTTGCAGTGAAGGGCTGATACAGTCCTTCCTCCCTCTCTGTGAGTGAATTTGGTCTTAGCTGTTTCCTAGAAAGACTGACAAAGACTGAAGGTCAGCTGTTTTGCCAGCAACTTTCTTACATTAAAAGTAAGCTGACTGAGGGGCGCCTAGGTGGTTCAGTTAATTATCCGACTTTTTTTTTTTTTTAAGATTTTATTTATTTGACAGAGAGAGAGAGACAGCACAAGCAGGGAGAGGGGCCAAGGGAGAAGGAGGCTCCCCACTGAGCAGGGAGCCGGCTAAGGGGTTCAATCCAAGGACCCTGGGATCATGACCTGAGCCAGACAGACACTTAACGACTGAGCCACCCAGGTGGCTCTGAATCTTTTTTAAAAAACAAAATTAAGCTGGGGTGCCTGGGTGGCTCAGTCAGTTAAGCATCTGCCTTCGGCTCAGGTCATGATCTCAGGGTCCTGGGACCGAGCCCCACATCGGGCTCCCTGCTCAGCCCCTCCCTCAGCTCCCTCTCCCCCTCCCCCCTACTCGTGCGCGCTCTCTCTGAAATAAAAATAAAATTAAAAAAAAATTAAGTTGATTGGTAAACTACACAACCATAGATATGAGTGGACTCCCTGTAATCATGGAGCTCCTATGGGCCAGGTGGCCCTCCCACCTATGGATGGGGTCCCATCCCTCAAACCTAAGTTGCTGCTCTAACCCACGCTGTGGTCCCACAGCCGTAGTGTTGGTTTGTAACCCTCCGGGGAGCTTCCCTGGTATAATCTGAACCTGGCCTCTATACTCAGCAGGGAGAGACCACAGAAAAAGGCAGGCCACTCCAGGTTGGTAAGCAGCTGTAATAAGCAAAAGGAACTTACATATGAGGCTTGTCTTGGGCAGCAGCAAAATGAACGGATCCCCGCACCCACCCACCAAATCTTAAAAGTTTATGGAGACCTTAAGTGGACTCAGTCACATATACTCACAGATGTTCTCAATACCACATCACTATCTCAAAGCTATGTGCTTGGAGTAGCTTCTGGAAAGACAAGGGGAACCCGTATTTCAAGCACAGGGGAGGGGGCAAGGGGCCTCTAAGTGCCAGCCAGTGTCCAGCTCACCGGTCAACTGGAGGGCATATCTTTTCCATGACATTCCCCAACACCCGGGGCATGTTTAGTCAGGCCCCTAACCCCTGGACTGAAATCTGGCTTATCTGTCTCTGCTCCTATGGGGTAAGCACCTTGAAGGCTAGGTCTGTGCTCTCCCTGACCATTTACTGTAGGGACGAACAGAATTCATCCCAATCAATGTGGGAGGAGAGAAGTAAGTCTGAGGCAGGACCTGCTATTTCTGTGACGCCCAGCGACTCCCGGAGGAGAGAGCCAGCAGGGTGAGCCCCAGCAGAGGGAGACTCAGGAAGCGGGTGACAGCACTCACCTGTGCTGGTCTGTGCCTTCTGCAACTTCAGAAACTGCTGCAAGAAGCTGCCGTCATTAGCAAACTTGTTGGAAACGGAAGAGTTGTGTGCATTCGCAATTCTAGACCCGAGACAGAGGACAGAGAGGGTGAGCCACAAGAGGAGGGGCAGGGGCCTGCCTTACCCGTCTCAGCCCCACACCCACCCCACGTTCTCACCTAATGGGACCCAAAACCCTGCCCCAAAGATGTCTGGGGACTCTTGAGTACACAGAGTGGCCTTCGTAGTAATATGGAATAATCTTGTTCTAGTCAAAGCAATACTGTCTGTATTGATGGTATCGCTACCTATATATCGACCCTCCAGGTTCAAACAGTATCTGCAACAAGACAGCTCAGAAGCACCTGCTCCTCCTGCACAGCACCTGCATGCTTGTTAACTAATTATCTGCGCTGTTCCTGGCTCCCATGTCTGTCTTCTCAGCTGGATATCAGAGATTTCCAAGGCAGGGCCTGTGTCTATACCCACATGTGACTGCAGTTCCGGACCTGAGCCAGTCAGCACTTCTGTGGGTATCACAGGTGCACGGCAAAATACCGAAAGTGATCTCTTGGTGGAAGAATTACAGGGGAATTTTATATTCTTCTTATTTTTACACTCTCTTTTGTTTGCAAAACGTATGTTTAAACATCTAATTTCAACAAGTCAGCACCAAAGCAAACCCAGGAGCCCAAATGTTTAATTCAAATTCATTTTTCCTGATCATAAAAGCAACAGAGGTTTATTATGGTGCAAACGGGAACGTAGAAAAATAGAAAGCAAAGGGAAACATCCAAAAGAGTCTCTTCCCCTGGGGCGCCTGGGTGGCTCAGTCGTTAAGCGTCTGCCTTCGGCTCAGGTCATGATCCCAGGGTCCTGGGATCGAGCCCC